CTCTAGGGGCACTGTGAGAAGCCCTGGTGACAATGGATGGGTTTGTTTGGGTTTTTGATATACAACTTTTTAGTTTACTATGTGAGACTCTACCCAGGCTTGCCCTGTTTTCTTTGAACCGTACAGTCTATCTTTGGGGAAGGAGAAAGTCTCTTGTCTCTTCTGCAGCGTGGCTGACTGTCTCGAACTGTGCACCTTGTAGTTTGCAGTCCAGTGCTGGATAGAGGGGAAATTGTTTTTGCATAGAAAAATATAACAATATACTATAATACTTACATGTTGATTGTTCTTGAGTTTTAAAAATGAGTGTCATGCATACATCTTGTCCAGTCAGTAAGAAGGTAGTCTTTTCTTAGCAGTACCTGAAGAATTGGATGCCATTGTCTCAGCATCTCGGCAAAAAGGGTATAGTTTTTGTTATGTCATAGCTAAAGATTAATCAGACATAGATGCCTATTTTTAATTAAGTGACACCCAAATGAGGTCATCTTAGTGTATCCACCATGAGTGCTTTCAACTGCAGAGGGAAAACATCTAATAGTGAAAAATACAGAAGTTGTTTCTCTGACATAACAAAAAGTCTGAGATAGGACTTTCTCGCTGTTGCTTCAAGAACTTGACTGTTATATTCTGCCATTCTTGGTTGTTGACTTTCCATCATATATATCACAAGATATTTACAAGGTGGATGCTACAGGTGTAGACAATCATTCCAAGAAGGAGCTGGAGCAACCTTAGCTGAGATGATCCCTTTTATCAAAAAATATTTTTATTTTATTCTAAAGACCTCATAGCTAATATAGAGCTGGGTAACGTGGCTACTAATTGCAAGTTAGTGTTTGCTTTTCCAGTCTAAGGGGAGTTGAGAATGGCTAATAGCCCTTTATGGAATGTCTACTTCATTGTTACTGTAATTCTAAATTTTGTTGAATGAGATTATAAGAGATAGATTCTAAACTATAAGGTCTTTTTCAGTTAAAATCGAAGAAGTACTGTATTCTATATTGTTAAGGGTTTTGTTCTGGGGTCATGATTGAGTTTTTATCTTCAGGGCCCAACTTCCTTCCTGTACTTTAGAAGAGACTGTAGAAAGTACATAGGAGTCCTTGTGTGAACACTGTAGGATAAGCAACGGAGGACTACAAAGTCGGTGGTTCAAACTCAACCAACCACTCTTTGGAAATCCTTTACAGGGTCGCTCTGAGTCGGAATTGACTCAATGGCACTTAACAAAAACAACATGAAGAATAAATGGTGTAAATGTAGTGGCTTATGCTTTGGGATGCTAACCACAAGATCAGCAGTTCAAATCTACCAGCCACTCAATGGGAGACAGATGAGATTTTCTGCACCCATTAAGATTTACAGCCTCAGAAACCCTATACAGAGTCACTGATTTGGAACCCACCTCACAGCACAGAAGCTCCATGCCCCTCTGTACTTTTTTTGCACCTAGATAGTTGAGCTTTTTTTAGGAAAATCATTCAACCTAGGAGATACAGACTGGGCTCAAAATTTCTTTTAGACTTGTCTCAATTTTCATTTTCTGAAATTCCTATTTTCCTATCTTTTTACCTCTTTATTTCAGAATTCCAAAACATGCTATAACTTTTTTAGTTTATAGATAACCTTTGCTTCTACCTCACAGAGAAAATTGAAGCTATAATAATGGACTTCTCACTTCCAAATCATTGGCAGTCCCTGGGTGGTACAGCAGTTAGTGTTGAACTATTTGCTGACAAGTTGATGGGTTTAACCACTCAACAAGAGACACCTGGGAAGATAAGCCTGGCAATCTGATTTCGCAAAGATCAGTGCCTTGAAAACCTTATGGAGCATTGCTCTACACACACTTGGGATTGTCATGAGTTGGAACTTGATTGCAACTAGCAATTCTAAATGAAGAAATCTACCTGCCTTAGCTTGGATGGAGGGTATATCCCTTCCGGTAACACCAAGGTGGGCTTGAACTTCCATCCTTTCAGTTAGAAGCCAAGCTGCTAACTGAAACCTTTTTGAAATGTTAACCGTTTGTACCACCCAGAAACTAATACAGTGAACTAGGTCCTACTTACACGTAGGCTTTAAAAAGTTTGTGGGAAAATGGAATCAAAAGAACGGAATTTTTTCGTGGACTTTTTGAAACCCCGTTGTATTACTCATTATTTCAGTGGTCAGCTTAAACTTGCCTTGCCTGAGAGTGGTTCTGGATAGTCTTCTGCTCCCTCCCGACTCAGGTACTCTGATTGTATACCCTCAGAATTCTTTTTTTTTTTTTTTTGCTTGGATCAGTAGTCTAGTTCCTTGTCTATTTGCCCCCACTATTACGTAAGTTCCACTAAGAAAGTGAGTCTACTTGTGGCATTGTGGGATAATGCACTGGGCCGCAAGTTCTGTTTGACCGCTAGGTCGATGGTTCAAATTCACCAGCCACTCCTCGGAAACCCTTTAAAGAGTCTCTGTGAGTCAGAAATGACTCGACAGCACTTAACAGCAACAAGAAAGCAAGTAAGTCTGTCTTGTTCACTATGATGGTGGTGATTATGTACTGTGGAGTCAGTTCTGACTCCACAGTACATACATACATAGACACAGGGAGGAGAGAGTTCCGAGGCTATAAATCTTTGTGTGAGCAGAAAAGCATCATCTTTCTCCCACAGAACTGGTCATTTCAAACTGCTGACCGTGGTTAGCAGCCTGACTTGTAACCACTATGCTACCAGCTTCTTTGTTCACCATGGTAGATGACATATAGCAGGCCATCAGTAAATGTTTGATAAATGAATGAAGAGTTGAAAAACTGCTGTAGGAAACTGAGAAGCTGAAATGGAATAGTAGAAGGAGCCCTGCACTAGGAGATAGGAGATTTGCTTTTGAATACTGCCATTAGTGACTTTTATACCTTGCAGACTTCTAGTTTCCTTATCAGTAAAAAGATTTATATTGAAAATAAATTCTCAGTGCCTATAGAATATATGCACTTTAAACAAAAATTCACTCAGCCATATTTGGGTGAAGCGAATTTGAGTGTAGGGCCGGCCATACAACCCTGAATGTGACCAATCTCAGAAGTTCAGCAGGGTTTGTCCTGGTTAGTATGTGGATTTGAGACTTCCTGGGAATACTGAGTGTTGTAAGGTTTTTGTTTTTTTTTTCCCAAGTCCTGGAATGGTGCATGCTGTGGCTTAATGCGATGGACTGCAGAGTCCATTTGAACAGCAAGGTTGGCGGTTCAAGCACATTAGATGCTCCTTGGACAATCTCTACAGGGTCGCTATGGGTCGACACTGACTCTACAGCACTTAAAGACAACAATATAATGATAATTGCTGTGTTGATTTCTGAGAATATACCAAAGACCAAAACAGACATTCTTGTTTTCATGAAGTAATCCTTGTGGAAACCCTACATAGGGTTTCTGGGACTTGGAATCAACTCCAGGGCAGTGAGTAAGATCTCTTCCAGAAGCCCCCGTGGTGTAGTGATTAAAGCACTCTACTGTTAACCTAAAGTTGGTTGTTTTCAATCTGTGAGCAACTTTACCTAAGAAAGATGTAGCACTCTTCTTCTAGAAAGGATTTACAGCCTTGGGGCTTATAGGCCATCTTACCTGTCTTACAGGGTTGCTGTGAGTCAGCATAGACTCAGTGTCAATGGGTGTTAAGATCGCTTCCATTCAGAGATTCAGTGACATGAAGTAATGTGTGGTACACATCCTGTAGAAGGTTAGACAAATGATGGCATCTGTCTTAGGCTGGCTTTTCTAGAGAAGCAAAACCAGTGAAATATTTTATATATATATTATGAGCTCTGGTAGCTTAGTGGTTACAAATAGGGCTGTGAACCTCAGGGTCAGCAGTTCGAAATTACCAGCTGTTCCACGGGAGAAAGATGAGGCGTTCTGCTCCCGTAAAGATTTACAGCCTCGGAAACCCTGTACAGGGTCGCTTTGAGTCGGAACCGACTCCATGGCACATATCAACATCAACAAATATATATATATATAGAGAGAGAGAGAGACAGAGAGAGAGAGAGAGAAGTTCATTATTAAAGAAATGACTTATAAACTGCAAGGTCCCAGGTCCCCAGTAGAAAAGAGATCCCCTCCCACATGTTCATTATATTGGGAGCAGGCCACACCCCCAGGGAAGTGTCACTTCAACTGATTGGTTGCTCATAGCCACTCATCATACTGTGCTTGTATTAGGTTTCATCACCATGGAATAAAGCACATCTCAATTGCTAAACCTCTGGAAATCCTGGTCTAGTCAAGTTGACTCAAAACCCTAACCATTACAGCACCTTTAAAAGAACTTGTTGTTGTTAGGTGCTGTTGAGTCGGTACCGACTCAGAGCAACGTTATGCACAGCACAACGAAACACTGCACGATCCTGAGCCAACCTCACTACTGTTGCCACGTTTGAGTCCATTGATGCTGCCACTTTGCCAGTCCATCTCGTTGGGGGTCTTCCTTTTTTCTCTGACCCTCCACCTTACCAAACATTATGTCCTTCTCCAGCGACTGGTCCCTCCTGACACTATGTCTGAAATATGAGAAACAAAAGTTTGGCCATCCTGGCCTCCAAGGAGCATTCTGGCTGTACTTCTTCCAAAATGGATCTGTTGGCTCTTTTCACAGCTCATGGCACTTTCAATATTCTCCTCCAACACCGTAACTCAAAAGCATCAATTCTTCTATGGTCTTTCTTATCCACTGTCCCGCTTTTGCTTGCATATGAGGTTGTTGAAAATACCATGGCTTGCGTCAGGTGCACCTTAGTCCTCAAGCTGACATCTTTGCTCTTCAACACTTTAAAAAGGTCTTGTGCAGCAGATTTGCCTAATGCAATACGTCATTTGATTGCTTGACTGCTGCTTCTGTGAGTGTTGATAGTTGACTCAAGAAGAATGAAGTCCTTGACAACTTCAATCTTAAAAGAACTTAGAAACCTTTAATTTTTGGAATTGAAATACTTACTTGTTTTTGTTTTTTTTCCAGTCCAAGCCTTATGCATTTGATCGGGTATTCCAGTCAAGTACATCTCAAGAGCAAGTATATAATGACTGCGCAAAGAAGATTGTTAAAGGTAAATGTATTGAGCCTGCTGAGTTGTTCCAGCAATAAGTAAAGTTTTATGATCTTTTAGTGAAAAATGTTCTTATAATTAGAATAATTGCACTGTTGCATACTTTTTCTTAGAAAATACATTTCTGTTCGCTTTTCCCAGGAGATTATCTGAGACAGTAATTGTAGAAATAAAACAACATGACCATAAAAACAAAATGGCTAGACAAGTGTATAAAACTTTTTAAAAGGAAGTAGAAATTGGCAGTCTTTACCATTTTTCCATTCAGTGTTATTCCTTTCTCCAAAGGCTTATCTTGTAGGTAGCAGAGAAAGCCTGAGGAATTTATCAAGGGTTACTAGAGATGAGAGAGGAGTCCTCATGTGGTGGTGTAGCATCAGCACTGGACTGATGGTCTCAGGGTTGGCAATTCAAACCCACCAGCCATTTATGGGAAACCCTATACTGGTTGCTATGAGTCAGAACCAGTTCCACAGCTCATAACCACAACAACCAGGAATGAGAAATGCTTATGCATCCCAGTTAGTGCTGTTACTAGCCTCTTTTGTTAAGTGCTATTGTGTCATGTCCAGCTCATTCGTATAGGGTTTCTGAGGAGCAGCTGGTGGCTTTGAACCACCGACCTTGCAGTTCAAGCCAACCTTGAATCCCAGTGCTTGTCCTAAAGCAGGACACCAGGAATCCATACGTTATGGGAGCAGAAACCCTCTTCTTTGTCCCATGGAGTGCCTGTTGGATTAGAACTGCTAGCCTCTGTTTAACCCACTATGCTTCCAGGGCTCCTTATACTAGGATAGTTTTTGGTTTTCTGCTTCCTAAAACCATAGAATGATAGAGAAGTTAGGTTGGACTTTGCTTCTACTTACTATAGGTAAGATTATCTTTTATCTCTAAGGGATTTTACAGTTTAATAGCCACTATTTTGTTTAATACACAATTTATTCCAGTCTTTGAATGAGCTCTGGTAGTGTTGTTATTAATAGGACTGCTAACCTCAACAGCAGTTTGAAACTACCAGCTGTTTTATGGGAGAAAGATGAGGCTTTCTGCTCCTGTAAAGATTTACAGCCTCAGAAACCCTAATCCGGGTCACTATAAGTCAGAACCAACTCCATGGCACATAACCACTGCCAGCATCCCACTTTTTGACTGTTTTGTTTTTTTTAAAGTGCTTTTTAACTTGAGACAGAAACTGTCTTTTTTATGACATTTGCCAGGGGATAGGAGTTGAGATTCAGTATAAAAGTGGAGTGGTTGGTATTAGATGTGCTCACCAACAGTTTAGCATGTTCTTATTAAATGCCATCGCGTCAGTTCTGACTCATAGTGACCTTGTAAATAGGGTTTTCTAGGAGCAGCTGGTGACTTTGAATTGCCAGCTTTTCAGTTAGCAGGCCAGTGCTTATCCTTTAGCATCAAAGAATAGTAGGAGAGAAAGCAGAATTTTATGGCTAGCAACAAGTAGGTTTATAAATGTGACACAGGGAATACACATGTTCTCTCATGTAATTCCATAGTCCAGGCAGTGAAGTCATCACAGAGAGTGAGGGTGGGGGAGAATGTGCAAGGAAAAGGTGATAGCATTAGTCGATTATAGATCTCAGTAGGGGCAGAGCTTTATTGGAATCAAGATACAAGAAGAAGTAATAAGAGGTGGATACTTGAATTTGAGATACAGAGGTGGTGTGTTAGTAATGAAAATATTAGGGTATGACCTTAGGAGTTGATGTCTAAAGAAGTGAAGGACAAGATCTGGGGAAAAGAGATCCAGAATCTGAGAGGCCATGGTATGTCAGTGGCATCATTTACTTCCTAGACTCTTGTTGTTGTTGTTGTTGTTAAGTGCCGTCGAGTCGGTTCCGACCCATAGCGACCCTGTACAGGGTTTCCAACGTTGTAAATCTTTACGGGAGTAGAAAGCCTCATCTTTCTCCCGCGGAGCAGCTGGTAGTTTCGAACTGCTGACCTTAAGGTTCGCAGCCCGATTCGTAACCACTACGCTACCAGAGCTCCTAGACTCTTAAATCACCAAAAATTATAACAAGAGTGATACTGGGAAGAGACAATGAGCTGGATGGTAAGGTCTTCATCAATTTGGTGGTCGTGGGGGTTATGAGCTGTGGAGTTGGTTCCATTCATAGTGACACTATATAGGGTTCATAAATATAGGAAGTATTGACTTGTGATTAATTTACCAGTTGCTTTGAGGGATGAAGGTGAGGCTTTCTGCTCTTGTAAAGATTGGCAACCTAGGAAACCCTATACAGGGTCGCTGTGAGTCAGAACTGACTTGGCAGCACCTAATAAATTGGCAGTGATTCTGTAAATGACTATAACAAAGAGGAGCAGGCAGTATTGCCTGTGTTGTAGTTTCAAAATTGTACATCCTTTGATTTTGATACATTTTTGTCATTACAGCCTAAGAGTATGTTATTATTGTTAAGTGCCTGCCGGTTAATTTCTCCTGACTCAGCAATCTTGTAGATTTCCAAGGTTCTTATGGTTCCAATCCAGTGTTTATCATACATAAGATTATATTAGCTTTTAAAATACAGTTTTGCTGTAGTAAAATATAGTAACAAAAGCTTTTCCATTTTAACTCTTTTCAAGTGTGTAACTCATTGATATTAGTTAAATTCACCATGTTGTGCAACTGCCACTACAGTCTGTTTCTGAAAGCTTTTTATCACACCAGACAGAAACTTTTGTACTCCTTAAGCCATAACTTCCTATTTCCCTGTCTCATCAGTCTCTGATAACCACTAATTAACGTGTTTCTGTGCATTTAAACTTTTAGATATTTTCTGTGGTAGCGTAGTGGTTATGAATCGGGCTGCTAACCTTAAGGTCGGCTGTTTGAAACTATCAGCTGTTCTGCGAGAGAAAGATGAGGCTTTCTGCTCCCATAAAAATTTACAGCCTCGGAAACCCTGTGCAGGGTCACTATGAGTCGGAACCGACTCCACGGTACTTAACAAACCATGTGTTTGTATTTAGCAACCTAATTTAAATTGATACCAACTTAACTGCAATAACAAAAAAACTCTGTTGGTATACCACTTTTTCACTCCCATGCCCATTAGGTCACTGGTGTCATAAATTACATTTTTATATATTGTTACTTAAAATATAAATTTATCATTATTTTGTATACATTTGCCTTTTACATCATATAGGACAAAGCAAGTAGAATAACAAGTCAAAAGTACAATAAAACTAGCATTTATGTTTTTAACCTATGGAATTATCTTTACTGGAGATCTGTTTTCTAGTGTAGATTCGAGTTACTGTGTAATGTCCTTCAATTTTAATGAATAGATTCTCTTTAGCATTACTTACAAGGCAGGCCTGATAACTCCCTCCATTTCTGTGTATCTGGGATTTTATAGGATGGTTTTGCCAGATAAAGAATTTTTGGTTAATGGTTTTGGTTTTCAGTTCTTTACATATGTTACATTTCATGCTTTCTGGCCTCCTTGGTTTCTGAGGAAAAAGTCAGCACTTAATCTTATTGAGGATACCCGGTTTGGCACTATAGAGTAAGCGACTGAAAGGTCTGTTTGAACCACAAGGTTGGCAGTTCAAATTCACCAGCCCTACTTTTCAGAAAAGTTGCTCTGGTGGCATAGTGGTTATGAGTCAGGCTGTTAATCTCAAAGTCAGCAGTTCGAAACTACTAGCTGTTCCACAGGAGAAAGATGTGGCTCTCTGCTCCTGTGAAGATTTATAGCCTCGGAAACCCTATGCAAGGTCACTATGAGTCAGAATCGACTCCACGGCCCACCAACACAACTCTTGAGAAGAAGTCCTGGTGTGGCACTGTGGGTTAATGCTCCAGACTGCAAAGTCGTTTGAACTGCAAGGTCAGCAGTTCAAGCTCACCAGCTGCTCTTCGGAAACCCTATAGAGGGTTGCTGTGAGTCGGAACCCACTCAGTACTTAACAGCAACTCTTCAAAAACCCAACTAGATGGCATTTAACAACAGTCTCATTGAGGATCCCCTTATATGTAAATGATTCTGTTCTTTCTGCTTTCAAGGTTCTCTCTTTATCTTTGGTTTTCACCCATTTGATTATAATGGGTCTCAATGTGAATCTCTTTGGATTTTTCCTAGCTGGAATTCTCTCACTAAGCTTCTTAGATATATAGATTGATGTCTTTTGTCAGATTTGGGACATTTTGAACTATTATTGCTTCAAAAATACTCTTTCTGACACACATACCCTCTTTTCTTTGGGATACTGTGAAGGTGTCCTAGAAGTCCCTTCAGAGTACACAGGCTTGTGAGGAAGGCAGACTAATAAATTGACAGTTAAAATACATAGTGGTAAGTGTTATAATTAAATGCAGATACTATATGGACATCTTACTCGGGTTTATTTTGGGAGTCAGCTTATGAAATCCTGGTGTGGCGTTATAGAATCAGCACTAGACTTCGAACTACACAGTCAGTAGTTCAAACCCTCCAACTGCTCCTCGGAAACCCTATGCAGTGTCATTATGAGTCGGAAACGACTCAACGGCATTTAACAACAAAATGAACATCTTCACCCAAGTTTATTTGGGAGTCGGGTTATGGAGGAAGAAATAAAACCTGAACTAGTTTTAAAGGATGTACACACAGAGTTGGAAGGAGAAGGGAGGGGTAGTTTCCAGACAGAGAGATGACACATATGGCTAACTAAGGCATGCCCATGTGAGAAAAGTATATTTCATGGCAACGTACATTGTGGTGTGACTAGTAAGTTGACCATATGAAATGTCTCTCTTTACTGTATACTTTTTCATGGGACCTTTCTTGTCCTGTCACATTTTACCCCCCACCCCTTTTTTTTTTAATTGGTTGGTTAAGGTACAAAAAGAACTAAATATTTTAAAAATTTTATAATTTTCTGATAATTGATTTTGAGGTGTAGGTCTGGGCTTATTATACTGGGTGGATAAAATAAGGAGGAAGGTACAGGATTTGGGGGATTAACCACCAGTTAGTTAACTACCAACAATTAGTACTATTTCTAAGAAATAGTTCATATCTGGGTTAATAGTCTGAGTATTCTTTTAAGTCACATTCTTTTGTTAAGTGCCTTTGAGTCAATTCCAACTCACAGCGATCCTGTATTGGGCTTTCAAAGAGTGAATGGTAGGTTTGAACCTCCAACCTAGTAGTTACCAGTCCAGTGCTTATACTACAATGCCACAGCAGTACTCCTTAAGTCACATAGAACTGTGAAGTACAGCTTGTACATGGACATATGATACGCTATAATTTAAAATTTGTTTCTTGCTGACTTCAGAAATTAATCTGGGCCTGAGAAAAAATAATTGCTTAGAGGAATCATTGCTAAGAAAATTACTATTAAGTGAATTCCTGTTAATTTCCTTTAATGTCTTATGAATCTTTTATGTATTATACTTTGACTTTGATGGGATCCTTCATGTAAAAAATTGAATCTTTCTCACCATTGTTAATAAAAATAAGTATTTTCATGCACGGATAACAAATAAGGTCATGTGTGTATTAAATTTTAAGATGTTTTCTTTATCACTAAGGTTGAACATGATGCACATTTCAGTAATATTCTTAAGTAATTTCTTATGAATCTTGTTTAGGAAAAAATCCTCTAAAGTATAAACCTTCTTATTTTCTCATAGATGTACTTGAGGGATACAATGGAACAATATTTGCATATGGACAGACGTCCTCTGGGAAGACACACACAATGGAGGTAAATTTTATAATTTTTACCTCAGTCTAGTTCATAGTAGAGCTAGTACATTTATTGTTTGTGGAATTATTTTACTATTTTAAACATCTTTGTTACCTCTTGATTGCTTTTTCTGGTGGAAACATCATTATTGAAATGTAACCATTTCTTGAATTTGAATAGTGAGGAATGCCTATCTCTGAAATTATACATAGCTTTGTTTATTAAAGGATCCCTGGAAGCACAGTGCCTTCAAGTGCTCACCTGAAAATCCAGAGGTTTAAACCAGACATTGTGCAGGAGAAAGATGTAACAGTCTGCTTCAATGAAGATTATAGCCTTGGAAAACATATGGGGGGCTTCTATAGGACTCCTGGTTTGGTGCTGTGGGATTAGCACTGGACTGTGAGCCACAAGGTCAGAAGTTCAACCAGTTACTCCTCAGAAACCCTATACTGGATATCTATGAGTTAGAACTGACTTGATGGCACTTAACAACGACAACATAGGGCTGCTATGAGTTGGAATCTACTTTAAGGCAGTAGGTTTTGTTTTCTTTTTAATCAGACAGCATAACCAGAACATAATGAACATTTGGGAAGTTCTTGTTAGCTGTACACAAAATTAATTTTTTTTCCGACAAAATTTTAGGTTTTAAAGTTTGTTTTTTTTGTCGTCCTATAATATAGGAATTTTTTTTTTTTTTTTAGTATGTTGATTGATGATTCTGTTCAAAATGGTTGTGTTTGTACTCTTCTTGCTCCCCTTCACCCAAACAAAATACCTGCTGCTCTTCTCTGGTAAGAATGTTGCTTCACTTATTGAAGCTCCTAGCAATGTATGCCCCAGCACACAACCACCATGACCACCACCAATCAAATAATACAGATGGAAGTGGAACAAAACTAACCTTTTCCTAAAACACATTCCTTTGCAAAAGTTGTTATTAATGGAACTATTGGATAAGCCTTGTAGTTAACATACAGTATTACACAGAACAATTGTGTTTGATTTTTTTATTTGGAGAGCCATTTCCACCAAAATTAACAATTACAATTATTATCTATTGACTGTAAATTGTCAGTTGAAGATTTTAGTTTTTAATTCATACTTTATAACTTAAGAAATCTGGTTTTGTCTTCTGCTTAGGGTAAACTTCATGACCCAGATGGCATGGGAATTATCCCAAGAATAGTACAAGATATTTTTAATTATATTTACTCCATGGATGAAAATTTGGAATTTCATATTAAGGTAAAGTCCTTGGTGAAAGATTATATTATATCTTATTTTATATTATTTGTATGAACAAATATAGTTGAAAGACCATTGGAATTAGTAAACTTGGATCATTGTTGTGCCGTGACAAGACTTTAAACAAGTTCTCTAGTAACCTTACCTTCCTTGTGTATAAAATAAGGGATAGAGTTTGTTTTACTACAGAACTTCTAGGTTTCTACTTCTCAGTAATCGGATTTATTTTAGATGATGATAAATGGCTTTTAATTTTTTTTTTTTTTAATTATTTATACAATTGAACAAATTTGTATCTTCTCATTAGAAAATGAGCTGTGTCTGATTTATTAATAACTGTCCCCATAGCCTGGTACTTGATCTCAGTAAATACTCAGTGAATGAGTAAGTGAATAAATCATCTTGATAATTTTAACAGTCTGATCTTTTTTTCCTTTTTTTATTTCTTTACCCTGTAGGTTTCATATTTTGAAATATATTTGGATAAGATAAGAGATCTATTAGATGGTAAGTTAACTTCTCTTTCTTGGATCATTTGTAAATAGCACCTCTCATTTTTTTCAGTAGTAGATTTGAGACCATTTCATAACCTGCATGAAATTGACATAATTATTTTGTTAAGTGTCATTGAGTTGCTTTGATTCATAGTGAACCTTTGTAGAAGCTTTAAATCTCTGTGGGAGTAGAAAATCTCATCTTTCTTTCACAGAGCAGCTAGAAAATGCAAACTGCCAACTTTGTGGTTCAGAGTCCGTTGCTTACTGTATCAAGCCACCACACTCCTGACATAACTTTAGGGCATTTTAAAATCGGAATTTTTTTTTTTTTTTTAAAGACAAAATGAAATTTATCATTTATGTCCAATTCATTAGGGAAAAACAAAACACCCTTTTTATACAGCTGTGAACCCTTTAATTCCTTTCCAAGAAAAGTACAAATACCGGAATAAAATTATGATAAGAATTTAAAGGATAATCTGTTGACTCAGTCCAAGAACAAACTGTGAATGACTCATTCTATCAAAAGAAAGATTTTGTGCAAAATTTAATTTTACATTATAAACAAAAGACTGCTGTATATTTGTTTAAATTGCAAGCCTACTATCTGCTTTTCCTTCAGTTATTCTCAGGTACAAAGCATTTATGCAAGTCAGAAATCTCATTACCTCAATGGGCAGAATGTCTTAGAATAAGCTTTTAGTTATAAATATCTGGAAAGATTTTTATTCTTTCTCTTGGACCTAACTTCAGTACATTAATAAGTCCTCCGTACTAACAATTAAGCATATGCTAATGCTTGTTGTTGTTGTTAAGTGCCATCGAGTCAGTTCCGACCCATAGCGACCCTGTATAGGATTTTCAAGAAGCACCTGGTGAGCTTAAACCGCCGAACTTGCAGTTCAAATGGCTTTGCAGTCTGGCGCATTAACCCACAGCGCCACACCTGGACTCCATGCTAATGCTTAGTGTTTCAGTATTACGGAAAATCTAAAAAGTCACAATCTAAGTCTAATATTAAGTCAGAAAACTATAGCAACTTCTATTTCAACTGAAAAATAACCAAACCTACCCCTCACCTCCTACCATTATTTTCTTTTCTTTATCACTCATTTATACCAAAGAAAAATAGTTTAAAATAAAACTCGGTCACAGTAAGTCATAGAAAATAAAATAGTTCTTTAGCACTAAATTAACTCTACACTTGACCAAGAAAGAACTGTAGTTTCTATATGTGGACAGATGTTCAAACAGTAATATAGTTTTCTGACTTAAAACGTGTGACAATTTAACATTTGAAATCTTTGTCATCTAAAAACATTTCAAATAAGAATAGCGAGCTACAGTAAATTATTGCAGACAGAATGATTAAAATCAGATTTTAATGAGTTTTTGTGGAATGTCTTTTAGACTATTCAAATAACTTGTTTAAAGTCCACGTATAAGGACTTCTTAAGTGGTAATAAGAACATTAGGAGTTTGAGGATCTCATTCTTTTTTCAGCTGTCAATTAGATAACATTGTTCTTGGACAAACTACTGAACCACTCTGGCTTAAGTGTCTTATTTTTAAAATGGATGGAGGTAGAAGTTAGACTAGAATTCTATATTGCTAATCCTAAATTCTATACTATGGGGTCTGAAATTCTTTATTGCTGTATTGGTTCTATATAAATCTTATTTCCACAGGGACTTGCTTTAATAGTGATTTTTTCATATCTTTTTAAAAGTTAACATGTTATCTTAATGCTGCTTGAGGAAGAAACAATCAATTGCATTAACTATGAAAGAATCTCAGCCGGTGATAGAATTTAAGAGATTATTGTTGAGATTTAAAGATTTTTTTTCTTGCCCCAACCTCCTAGTTTCAAAGACCAACCTTTCAGTTCATGAAGACAAGAACCGCGTTCCCTATGTAAAGGTATTTATAACATAATATAGAATGATTATTTAGACATGCCTTGTGATACTTTTTTAAAGGATATTAACATACTTGAAAAAATTCTTTTACAGGGGTGCACAGAACGTTTTGTATGTAGTCCAGATGAAGTTATGGATACCATAGATGAAGGAAAATCCAACAGACACGTAGCAGTAACAAGTGAGTTGGTCTGTTAACACTGGTTACAGTGTGAAGCAGCCTTGAAATGTCCTTTATCCAGTTGATTAATTGTGGAATAATACTTTAGAGATTATTAGTAAGGAAAAGCCCTGTTTACTTATAGTTGTTTTTTATATAATTTCATTGCAGATATGAATGAGCATAGCTCTAGAAGTCATAGTATATTCCTTATTAATGTAAAACAGGAAAACACACAAACGGAGCAGAAGCTGAGTGGAAAGCTGTATCTGGTTGATTTAGCTGGTAGTGAAAAGGTAAAATATTTTCAGCTACTATAAGCATTTTCATAAACTTTAGATTGAATTTATACTTATATAGTATTTAATATTGTGCATTTTAAACATTATCAAACTGATACTGGTAATATTTATCAGAATTAAAACAATTAATGCCAGTTTTTAAGCTGAATAATTACTCAATTCCAGGTTACTATGGCATTTGGACCATATACCAGTTCATCCAATAGATACTTTGACTTAAGTTGTTTTTATTGAGACCTTACTCAGTACATGTCCACTGTTAAGAATTTTATTAAGTATCATTTTTTCTAATTTTCAGTTACCTATTAAAACTAGCAACTCTCCATTAGTTCATTCTGGTTTGGTTATACTTCTTTTCTTTGAACGGTTATTTCATATTGCAGTAATATACTATTTGATTCTAACCTATATCAGAATAAGTTCAAATTCTCAGCAATTTTCAATGTTTTGCTTAATGTTGTTTCCTCTGATTAGATTGGTCAGAATGATTCGAATGATCTTCTCTTCTATTCACAAGTTTTATGCACATCTTTCAAAACGTATCTCTGAATGCTGTGAATAGCCAACTTATTAAATATATGCACTTAGTTTACATTTTTCTAAAGAAGCAAATATGACAGTAGTAACATCAACATTATGCTTCAACAATTTTAATGAGCTCCTCTTTTCTAATGTAGCATAAATGACTAATAGTGAGCTAAAAGTTTACCTGTAAAATGACCGTTTTCAGTAGCACAAACTAATGTTTAGAGTCCGTAATCACATACTTGTTGTACAACTTCTTATTTGACAAAATTTCTCAAGACTCGTATTGCAGAAATAGTGGTTCCTTACAGTAAACTCTTGGGAAGTCATATGAAGAAGTTCATGTTTTGGTTTGGGATTTTAGCTATTTATTGATGAACCCTTAAAACTTGTAATTTTGTTTTATTCTTTTGAAATCGTATGTCTAGGTTAGTAAAACTGGAGCTGAAGGTGCTGTACTGGATGAAGCTAAGAACATCAACAAGTCACTTTCTGCTCTTGGAAATGTCATTTCTGCTTTGGCTGAGGGCAATGTGAGTATACTAGTCTTTTTTCTTATTTCATAGGAAATTTTTAAATATTGATGTTTAAACAGGCATTCCTCAAGATTACAAATTTCTGACTAATGTATAGCCTGCCATTAGGAACCAACCCTCTGTAAAGTCTTCTTTCTCCTTCCAACACCCTGGATTCATGCCAGAAGGAAATTATGTGTTTTTTGCATGCTTAATCACAGCTCTAGACACTCATTGGCTGAGTGCCCCAAAGCCTTCTGTTCTTCTGATCCAGTTCCTACATTTTATCTGGCTTTTTTCACTTTGCAGCCACTATATACTGTAGTCACCCACCTGCCCCTACCATAGCCATTCACCTGTCCATGGCTGTGTGTCTTGGGAATTTTATTCCTATCTACTTTCTGTCCCATCCTCCTCTTCACCCTCCACTTCTTCCCTGTTTCTTTCCCTAGAATGTTTGCAGCTGCTGTCAGCCTGCTCCTCCTTGGTCATCCTTGTCAAGCTGATCGGGGCCCCGCAGAGTTCCTGGTTGTCTTGCACACTGCCTCCTCTGTCAACACCATGCATCCAAACAGTGTCATTACTATTACTCTGTTATTATGTTGAAGATGTTTTAGTGTATCTGAAAGTGATTCTTTTAATATATTTTATACATAGAAAGGTACACTGTGTACTAATATAAACATTTGACTGGTGTTGGTGTTTATGTGCCGTGGAGTCGGTTCCAGCTCATAGCAACCGTACATGGTTTCCAGGGCGTTAAGTCTTTATGGGAGCTGAAATCTTCATCTTTCTTCTGCAAAACATTTGGTAGTTTCGAACTGCTGACCTTAAGGTTCACAGCCTGATTTGTAACTGACAGCAAATACTGACAAATTCAACTTAAGGACAGTATTGGGAACCAGAAGTCTTTGGCAGTCTGAGAGATGGAAGGAAGAGTGCATGTATGAAAAGGAAAGAGAAAGATTTATTGGCTTGAATCAGTATATATAAAATAGTTGTCTTTTAGAAATGTGATTTATAATATTTATAGTATTATATAAGGACCCATGGTGGTGTGGTGATAGGTGATTAAAGCACTTGACTACCAACCAGAAGGTCAGCAGTTTGAACCCACCAGCTGCTCCACGTGGGGCCAGACTTGGCAGTCTGCTTCCACAGATATTTACAGCCTTGGAAACCTGGTGGAGACAATTCTACTCTGTCTTACAGTCTCATTATGAGTTGGAATCAACTCGATGGCCATGGGTTTTTTTTTTTACGATGTGCATATCCTAGTTCCTGTCTTACAGTTAAGCAGTTGAAATAACTGAATTTGCTTTATTGAAGGTAGCTCCTGTATGTAACAAAGTAAATTAAATAGAAGCCCTTCAGTGTTCTTTGTTTTCTTTTTTGTCTATAGACTTATGTTCCATATCGAGATAGTAAAATGACAAGGATCCTTCAAGATTCATTGGGTGGCAACTGTAGAACCACTATTGTAATTTGCTGCTCTCCATCATCATACAATGAGTCTGAAACAAAGTCTACACTCCTGTTTGGTCAAAGGTTTGTTGTTTGAAAAGTACAAATCCTCAATGTGGGCAGGTCTTTTATTAAATCTAAGAAAATGTCGAATATAATTCAATACTAGGTAACCAATATTCAAATTAGTACATTATCATGAATGTGCTAATAAGCATATTCCTTTAAACTGAGAAACCGTTAATACAAACAAGGTTCATTTATTAGGTAACTTGGATTTAAATTAAATCAGGTACACATTAAAGTCAAATATTATTTTAGTCAAATTTATGGGAGAAGCTTTAATTCCTAAATAAAATAAGCATTTGAATCAGAAAATAAAAGCTTAAATAAAATCTTACATTAAACCTGTTGATATACTGTGATGTTGTTGTTGTCAAGTTGGTTCCCACTCATAGCAGTGCTGTGTGGGGTTCTGAGGAGCGGCTGTTGAGCTTCAACCTCTGACCTTCGTGGTTCAAACTGACCTTACAGTTCAGCTCATTAATCCATAGGTTCCAATAATATGAAATGATTAGACTACAGAAATCTTATCTTTGACCTTCAACAATGATTTTGTAACTCAGCCTTATAAATAAATGGGGGAAATAGTAGCTCTTCTTTTTTACTTCATTGGTGGTTGATTTTTTATTTTTTCAGTTGGTTAGTTGGGACTAACCCATATTCATTGAGTTATAAGTCAACACTATACAGATTATATAGTTTTCAGTTTTTAATCTTACAAGATACCTGGGCAAGAGGGAATATATGTGGAGATGAAAGTATCAATTAAAAACAATTGCTTTTAGTCACACTCTTTTGTTCTTTTTCTTTCCAATTTTTTTAGGGCCAAAACAATTAAGAATACAGTTTGTGTCAATGTAGAATTAACTGCAGAACAATGGAAAAAGAAATATGAAAAAGAAAAAGAAAAAAATAAGACCCTGCGGAACACCATTCAGTGGCTTGAAAATGAGCTCAACCGATGGCGTAATGGTAATGGCTTACCTGTTTGTTTAAGTTTGTTGAGTACAGATTTAAAGCTATTTTATAAATTTGAGATTCTGATGTGGATATAAATAAAAACAACGAAGCATCCACTCGTACTTGTTGATGTTAAGTGCCATCGGGACTGTTCTGGCTCATGGCCACCCTGTGGTATAGGGTTTCTCAGGAGTGGCTGGTAAATTTGAACTCTGCCGACCTTGCGGTTCAAACCAACCTTGAGGGTCCAGTACAATATCCTGTAGTACCATGCTAGAACTCCTTTTAAGCACTTACATACCATTACATAAAAACAAATAAAACATTTTAAGTTCTGAAATGACTTAAGATAATAAATATGGAGGCATAGAGGCCAACTTGGAAGCTATATATAGATGTCATGAGCTAGCAAGGTAACGTAAGTGTTGTTAAGTGCCATCAAGTCATTTTTGACTCAGCCACCTTGCATAGTGAGTGGCTGTTTATTGCTTATCCTACAGCATCATAACAGGACTCATAAGTTAGAGTGGGGGGTGGTGGTGGTTGTGTTCCATCTAGTTAGTTCTAACTCATAGCAACCCTGTGTAGGATTGCTGAGGCTTCGTCATTCTCCTCTGGAGCAGCTAGTTGATTTAAACTGCTGACCTTACAGTTCAAACCGATGTTGTGGTCCTGTGCATTATCCTGCCGTGCCACAAGATTTGGTGACTGGGATTAGAAGATTGAGGGGCTCAAAGGTTTCAAACCTCAGAAGCTGGGCAGATAGGAAAGTTGTTAAGAGTTGCTAAAATAATTGGAATGAGTTTTAGACATGATTTCTGTTCTCTTATTTTAGGAGAGACAGTGCCTGTTGATGAACAGTTCGACAAAGAGAAAGCCAACTTGGAAGCTTTCACAGTGGATAAGGATGTTACTATTACCAATGATAAACCAGCAGCCACAATTGGAGTTACTGGAAACTTTACTGATGCTGAAAGAAGAAAGTGTGAAGAAGAAATTGCAAAATTATACAAACAACTTGATGACAAAGTAGGTATTATTCATGTAATGTTTTGTTTTAGAATATTAAGATCATTAGATCATTAGAGGGCCGTTATTCCTTTAAGCATGTTTTTATTTTAGCATTTAAATTACTTCATGAGTAGTTCTCTTAAATATATTTTTGTTACATAAGTATAAGTTGAATTTGTTGACATTTGAAAGAAATTCAATTTCAACCTTATCTCAAGAAAAGAGATCAAAATAAACTATACTGCATTTAGAGAAATGATTTTGAAATATTTTGGGCTGTACTGATCTATTAGAAAAAGAATAACGTGCAAAAAATAAAAACTTTAATTCTCATTTGATTGATTTGAATTCTGTTCTTGTCGAATTTACTGCTTTTATTTGGAAACATTAGAACCAGGTTGTGAGTGATTTTATTAACTGGATACTTTAAAATTCTAGGATGAAGAAATTAATCAGCAAAGCCAGTTGGTAGAGAAACTGAAGACACAAATGTTGGATCAGGAAGAGGCAAGTTGAATACCTTTCATACTGCTTCCAGAAAAGTTTAATAGTTCGACCATAGCATATAAATATGTAAATGATCAAAGAATCTACAGATCTCAGAATATACTAGAGTATATTTTATATTCTTTTGAATGTGCACTTGCTTGATTGTAAATACTTCATTAGAAGTACATTATGTGTATCAAATCAGATTAACTTCCTCTTTAAGATTTTTTTTTTTAATTTGCATTCCATACCCATGGAAGGAGAAGAGGACTTTTTTTGTTAATGCGTTGGACTGCAAGGTCAGATTGAACCACTAGGTTTGCGGTTCAAGCTCACCAGCCACTCCTTAGAAACCCTATACATGGTTGCTATATGTTGGAACTGACTCGATAGCATTATGTCTTTTACTTTTCTTGCTTTGAAGTACAATGTTATTTATCAACTTATTCTCCCAAGACATCTCTTTTTAGTCTTATGGGGAAGATAAACAGCAGAGCCAGACTATTTCCTAGACTATTTTCCCCTCAGTGCAAAGTATTAACGCGCAGAGATAAGAAGAAATATTAAGAAACACAATTTTTCATTCTCACGCATTCACTTCCAACACACAAATGTAGTTCTAAGAGCATTGAATATTAAAATGTTGGGTGTCTAAACCCATTTCCTTTGACATTAATAATTATAAATTCTGGGTATGACTCTGGTTATGTGAACATGGCATGTGAATTGTCAAGTGCCTTTAAATTGGTTCTATCTCATAGTGGCCGTGTACGGGATTTCCAAGGCATTTTAAATCCTCACGGGAGCAGAAAGCATCATCTTTTTTCCCCGAGAAACAGATTGCAGGGTGGAACTATAGACCTTGTGGTTCATAGTCAAGTGCTTACCATATGAAGCCACCATGCTCCCAGTGTCATGTGAATAATTTTTTACTCCTTCTTTACCCTTTATGCCTACATCAGTCTGCTGTTCAGTTTCTGTCATCTTAACTTTTCATTTTAGTTCTTCATTTCTCTATCACCTAATTTGGACTCTTCGTTTTATTTCACCTGGCATAGCAGGGAGACGATTGGAAAATGATCCTTTATTTAAGATTTTTTTTTGTTGTTTTGTTTTTTGACAAAGGCCATATAGATTAAATAAAGAGTAATCCATCAAACCTCTCTGATCAGTCATTATTTATTCTGGTCAGATCATCTTATGATTATTTCAACTATACCATTGTTTCTCAAAAGAGCGCTTTAACATTTTGAGTTGAATGATTCCTTGTTATGTTCTGCCTTGTGATTTAAAGGACATTTAACATCTCTGGTCTCTTGTCTAATTTTACAATTAATGCCATTAGTATTCCTTCCCTTCTTTGGCACCTGTACACATTTCCACATGCTCTTACTTAGAAGCCATTGACCTTGAAAGATTGCAGTATTCTAACTGGGTTTTTTGACTAGTTTTCCACCTTACAGTAGAAACTTTACGTGCTTGATGCTATGTTTTCCTGAAGCACAGTTCAAATGCCCCTTCCTCCACCATGCTACCCAAAGAAATCTTAAAATATCCTATTTACTTTCTTATTTCTGTGCACACTATTCATGAACTCACAACTTTATTATATAATTTGTGCATCGCTAAATCATACCTATCCTGCTCATCTTCTTCGTGAATATTGACATCCCAGAATGATCTATCTCCCTTTCTTGTAGCTCTTATATTTCATCTCACATTTTAGTTATGTACTTGTGTCTTATCTACCTCAGTCCCTGGGTGGTGCAAACAGTTAATGTGCTTGGATGCTAACTGAAAGATCAGGAGTTTGAGTCCACCAGAGAGGTCTTAGTAGACAGGTCTGGTGGTCTGCTTTTTTAAAAAATTGAAAATTCTGTGGAGCGATTCTTCTATGACACAAACACATGTAGTGTTTACATGAGTCAAACTGACTTAATGTTAACTTTTTTCTTCTTTGACTACTAGGTTTTTCAAAGGCAAAGTCTTAATTTGATTTCCCTTAATTTCTCAGTGCCTAATGCAGTACCTGCACATAGTAGACATTCAGTGACTCTGTGGAATAAGTGAGTGTTGCTATACTTAAGAAAATCTACCTTTGTGAAGGAAATAAATGTTCTTCTCTTTTTTTTTAAACTTTTTATTATGAATTGAGTGAAGGTTACCAGACAAGACTATCAGCTTTACTTTCAACTAGTCATACATTTTGTTTCATCTCAGTAATTATAATCCCCTCCCTGTACCAACAATTATCCTGCTTCCTCCCTGTGACTTCTCTTTTGCATCTTGTTTTTCACAAATCAACAAGTATTTGGTGTACACATAAAAGCAAAAAATACATATTCATTTATATGTCCAAAGGGCACATTTTGCAAGCCTGCAGCTGCTCTATCTCCCGATGCCATCGCCTCTGCCCCCATCTCTGCTGTAGCCGCTTTTCTTTGTAGGATCTCACACTCCACTAATGTTCTTCCTTCTTGATAGTCCAGGATCTGGTAGTCTTGTTCCTGAATTGAAAGATTCCTGCTCCCTCCTTTTAGTTACACATCTTCTGTAATTACAGTTGTAATTAATCGTACTAAAAATCACTCACAGTTGAATCATAAAATCCCATCACCATCTTCCTCCATCTCTTTTCACTACCAGATCGATCTGGAAAAGAGGAAAGCTAGTCAGTGGGAATTCTGCCTTACCCTCCTCATTCTGAAACTAAGCCCACTCAGGAAAGCTTGTAAACCATCCAAATCTTCGTGCCTTTATAGCCCCCCTTTTTGATAGCCAGTGTCTAAAATGCTTGTCCCTATCAACCCCAGTCCAGTGCACTGAGGAAACAAGTTTTATCCTTGATATGAAGAATCCTTTCATTTCAATTGGAATTTTGAGCAACTGCATCCATAAATAGATGTTCTTTAAAAACAAAACACCAACCCCATATATTTATTTTGATTGAAAAGTATTTCACTCTTTTGTGTAGCTTCTAGCATCTACTAGAAGAGATCAAGATAACATGCAAGCTGAGCTGAATCGCCTTCAAGCAGAAAACGATGCCTCTAAAGAAGAAGTAAAAGAAGTTTTACAGGCCTTAGAAGAACTTGCTGTTAATTATGATCAAAAGTCTCAGGAAGTTGAAGATAAAACTAAGGAATATGAATTGCTTAGTGATGAACTAAATCAGAAATCGGTAGGATGTAGTTTGGTTTCTTAATATAAGTATTTTTTTAATTTTAAAACTGCTTGGATTGCTTATATATAAATAAACCCAAAACTGATACAGTCAATTCTTAATGGGCTCAGGTATATAAAGCCAAAGAGAATTACCATTTTATTTCCTAAAGGTCTATTAATCTGTAATTTAAAACTTATTTTTAAAAGGTACCTGCTAATTCTAATGTTAAAGAAAAAAATTTAAAGTTCTAGTTACTCAGTAAAGCTATTACATGGTTATTCAAACTATAAGAAGTATAAAATTAATAAAATGGTATTTATATTTAGTCAGTTAAGAAATTACTTAGAGTAGTCATAAAGATACATAACTTCATATAGCTTGTATCAGTTATTCTTACATTCCCAACAATTGGAACAGTGCTAACCTGACACAATATAGTAAGGTCTTCTGGGGTTTTTTGTTACCTCTGTAGGTCAAGAATTACTAACCTGTAACAGTGATGCCAAAAAATGATACTTATAGCTATGATTGTAGCTGTTAAACTTTCAACATCACCATGGATGCATTTTCTTACAATTCTATTGTTGTTAATATACAACTTCATGTTTAGAAGTCAGGAGCTAGATTTAGACTCCTTATCAGTATTACCTAAGTTGTGAAGTTGAAGTCAATCCGTAGTAGCAGAACTGTCAATATAGTGAACCCCTATCTTCAGTATCTTTTTATATGTCTGATGATTTATGGAGAAAGACGGTTAGATTAATGAGATTGGCACGGTAACCGGTATGTTTTAAGTTAAAGTGGGTGAACATACACACTCCAGTGATACTTAGAAACCACCTAAGTACACTTAGAAAAAGCAAGCAGTTGAGATTATGACATTTTCATTAAAAGATCCTAATGAAAAGTCAGGACGTTGCATTAAAAAAATGCAATATCTGATTTGAGATACAGTGAATCATTTTTTAAATGGGTCAAAGTGGGTTAGCTTTTTGAAAATTTTCATGACTTCTTGCTGATTACAACAGCTATTACTGTATTATTTATAGTAATTAAAGTCAGTGAACAATATTACTTCATCAGTAGTTCCTAAATACTTGCTTCTAACATAGTATCAGAAATAATAATTATCATTTGGGGGATTCATTTCAGCGTCGAAGTATATAGAAATAGGAAGTACATTAAAAAAGATGGTAGCCATCGCACAGGTAGCCAAAATACAGCAATAACTGAAAGGTGAGTGTCCCACTTCAATAAATATTTGAATTGAGTTTTTATTTCATAGATTTAACTGAACTTTTGTTTTTTGTGGTTCTGTTAGGCAACTTTAGCAAGTATAGATGCTGAACTTCAGAAACTTAAGGAAATGACCAACCACCAGAAAAAACGAGCAACTGAGATGATGGCATCTTTACTAAAAGATCTTGCAGAAATAGGAATTGCTGTAGGAAATAATGATGTGAAGGTAAGTAACCGAATATTGATTCTGGTTAATCTGTACATAAGTCATACTTTGTTTACAATTTGTTTTTCACAAAGCTCTTTTCATGTGTGGTAGATGATATTACCGCTGTTGTAAATAAATAAAGAGTGAATAAGGAATGCTCAAGTAAACGTATTCAGTTAATAACATTTATTAAGCTGCATGCCTGGCTCTTTCCTCTACTACATAAAGAGTTGATGTTAATAAGTTGTTATACATGAAAGTGTGTGCTTGATGGTAAGATCAGAGAGTAAACTGATTGATAAATGAATAAAATTAAAATATGAGCGTTGTTAATTATTTTTAGTATGAAACATTTTAAACATGTAGCAGTAGTGAGGAATGCTCTCTTTTAAGGATACTGATAGATATGTAAGCACAAAGTTTTCAATATAGAGCACACATTGCTTCTATAGACTGAAGGTTTATCAAGACTGCTGTCTGTCAGTGGAAGCAAGAATTGTTAATGTTGCATCATCTTAGTGAAACAAAGGAAAGGGATTCCTGCTAAACACTTGGAACTTGACTTGCTCACTCTTCACCATCAGTCTGAACATTCTCCCTTAACCTATTTCTGATGAAGTGATAAAAAAAGTAGAAATAAGTGGGACTGTTCTGAGTTTCGAAAGTAGATTTACTTCATGTCACTGAATTCTAGAAATGTGTTGTTGAATATACCTATGGTGTATAGTGGCAGAACGAGTGACACAGTATAATTCTTCTGACTCCTGATTTCCTTTTTTCACTATCTTGTTGTTAAGTGCTGTTGAGTTGGTTTTGACTCATAGCTACCCTGTAAGAGTTTTTGAGGAGCAGCTAATGTGTTTGAACTGCCAACCTTATGGTTCGCTGTCCACTGTTGACCAGGAGTCCATTATCATATAGCACTTAAGAGACATATCAACCTTGCAAATAGTTTCTTAAAATTGTTAGAAAAGAAAAATTGTCCATCTCAGTATGTTAATCAAACCAACATAATTCTTTTCCAATTAACATCATCAGTAAGCACTGATTGAATGCTGCTTAATTTTTTGTTTTTATATTGGGTTAATTTTCTCTTTATGTTGCAAAGTTCTGTAGATTTTGACAAATGCTTAGGGTCGTTTATACATCATTACAGTATCATATAAAAAAATATCTCTACAAATGATCTCATTAGAAGGTCCCACATAGAGTGGGACAAAACTCTGACTTTAAAAAAAAAAAAAAAGACTGAACGTACTGGTCAGAAAGAAACTTGAGGAACCTAAGACTATGGCCCTTGGCTACTCTTCAGCTCTGGAAAGGAGCTCAATTTGTGTTGGCCAGTTTTCAGCTAAGCAGTGGTCAACACTGGTAAGATAAGCTCACCATTGAAATGGTTAGCCATTCAAGATCAAAAGAGCAACATTTACCTAAGGAGAAAGTTTAGAGGGGTTAGGAAGAAGAGTGGAATGCAAGACCAAGAACCCCAGGGAGGGAAAGTAGGAAAATTATTGTTATGTGGTGGGGAGTAATCATTGAGATGAAACAAAGTATATGATTTGTTGAATGTCAAAACTGATGATCTTGGCTCAACTTACAATAAAAGTTTTTATGTAGAGAGCATGAGAGCCCTCTTGTAGTGTGTTGTGGGTTACAAGTTGGGCTGCTAACTGCAAGGTCACCAGTTTGAATCTTCCAGCTATTCCTCAGAAGAAAGATGAGATTTTCGGCTCCCATATATATTTACAGCCTTGGAAGCCCCATCCAGGATTACTGTGAGTCAGAACCGACTTCTCAGCACATAATCATCACCACTACCGTATATAGATAAAGAGTTAGGTGGGTTAATGCGCCAGACTGCAAAGCCATTTGAACTGCAAAGTTGGTGGTTCAAGCTCACCAGCTGCTCCTCAGGTCACAATGGGTCGGAATCTACTCATCCGCACTTAACAACAACAATATATATATAGAGAGAGAGAAGAGCCCCCTGGTGTGGTGCAGTAGGATTAAGGGCAGGTCGGACCGCAAGGTCATTTTGAACTATAAGGTTGGCGGTTTGAACTTACCAGCGGCTCTTCAGAAACCCTATACAGGGTTAATAAGAGTCAGAACTGACTCCACAGTGCTTAACAACAACCCTAACTAACCTACAAAGGAGCCTAAGGGAAGCAGTTTGAATCTACCAACTGCTCCACATGAGAAAGATGAGACTGTAGGGTAACCTCTGAACCACAAGGTTGACGGTTTAAACCCACCAGCTGCTCCTTGGAAATGCTATACAAGGTGGCTATGAGTCAGAATAGAATCCATGCACTTAAAAACAACTTAGAGAAAGAAGACTGTCCTAACAAATCCTCTGTACTGTTTCTGTTAATCTCCTTCATCCCTACTCCGCTCTTGGCAATCACTGATCTTTTTACTACCTCTGTAGTTTTACATTTTCCAGAATGTCATATAGTTGGAATCATAAAGTATGATTGTATGATTCCAACCTTTTCAGATTGGTTTTTTCACTCTAAGGTTCCTCTGTATCTTTTCATAGCTTGTTGATAGCACCTTTCTTTTTATCACTGGATAACATTCCATTATATGGATACCTCATAGTTTGTTCATCCATTTACCTATTGCTACATCTTTGTTTTGGTTAGTGTGCTGGACTGCAAAGTTAGTTTGAATTATAAGATTGGTGGTTCAAGCTCACCAGGCGTTCTTTGGAAACCCAATACAGGGACACTATTGGTCGAAACCAACTCAGTGGCACTTAACAACAATATCTTTATTTGCATCCAGTTTTTGGCAGTTGTTAATAAAATTGTTAGAACATTTTTGTTTTTGTTTGGATGTCAGTTTTCCAACTCTTTTGAATAAATACCTACAAGCATAACTGCTGGATCATTTGGCTAAAAGTATGTTGATCTTTCTAAGAAACTGCATTACCATAGGTAGTGAATGAGAGTTTCTGTCACTCCACATTCTTGCCAAAATTTTGGTGTTGTTTGTGTTTTGGGTGTCACTCTAGGATAAACACTGCAAAATTGGTGATTCATAAAGAAGCCTGTGTACCAGTCTTGTCTTTCATGGATTATTCACTTGATTCTATCTAAAAACTTATCACGAAACCCAAAGTCACCTAGCTTTTCTGTTATCTTCTAGAAGTATTGTAGTTTTTCATTTTCATTTAGGTCTGTGATTGTGATCCATTTTGTGTTAATTTTTGTGAAAGGCATAAGGTCTGTGTTTGCATTCATGTATTTGCACAGGGATGTACAGTTATTCCAAAAACTTTCCTTTCTCCATGGAATGTCTTTGCCTTGCTATTAAAGATCAGTTGACTGCATTTATTTGAGTTTATTTCTGTTCTTTTCTGTTGGTCTGTTTCATGATATTACACTCTTGATTCTTGCCTTGATGTAGAACTGTAAATCAGATAGTCTCAGTTCTCTAACCTTATTATTCATTGTTGGTTGGTGTAGCGCTGTGGGCTAATGTGATTGACTGTAAAGTTGTTTGAACTACAAGGTCGGTGATTCAAGCTCACCAGTCACTCCTTGGAAACCCTATACAGGGTTGTTTTGGGTTGGAAACGACTCGAAAGCACTTAAGAACAACAGCATGTTATGTTAAGCTGTTCTGAGTCTTTTGCCTTTCCCTGGAAATTTTACTGGAAATTTGTATTGAAATCCATGGAAGTTCAGGTATATAGTGATCACAGTTTATCTATTATTTTACTGCAAATTAAACATCTTATTAATTGTTAAATTTTAAGTTGTATTAACATGTACAAAGTTAACATTGAATTTTCAACTGAAATCCTGTCAAGAAATCCAAGAGAAGAAGTATAATTCATCAGGGTTTTTTTTTTTTTTTTCCTTTTTATGTTTACTTCCACATTTTTTTACTTATAGGTAAATGTTAACATTATTATTTTAAGTTTAGAATCTAAACAACGTAAAAATGAAGCTCTGTATAATTATATGTGATTACTGACAACAGTAACTGAAGGAAAGAAAAAGAATTCCAGACTCCTTATGAGTATTGAGTAATATTGAAATATATTTTGGAACATGATTGTAGAATCTCACTGGGAAAGTACACTATAATTTTTAGGCTTTTAAGTTTTTATTTCACTTTTTTCTCACAGCAACCTGAAGGAACTGGCATGATAGATGAAGAGTTTACTGTTGCAAGACTCTACATTAGCAAAATGAAATCAGAAGTAAAAACAATGGTAAAACGCTGCAAGCAGTTAGAAAGTACACAAACGGAGAGCAACAAAAAAATGGAAGAAAATGAAAAGGAGTTAGCAGCATGCCAACTTCGTATCTCTCAAGTATGTGTTACAAAACAAACTTCATTTATTGAGTAGGCACAAATAAATTGTATTGCAAATTTTTCCCAAAAAGAACTTTTATGGGTTATTTTTGGTCACAAGATTATTAAAAGGTTAGTTTAGGGTTTTTTCCATAGCTTTATTATAATATAACATCAATTATTTAACTGGATAGTATTTGTTATATATATGTTAAGTATAGACTTTTATTAACAGGATGTGCCTGATGTAACTAAAGAATTTAGAAAAATTCTAGGCTGTACAGAATTGCAGGGCACTAGAGTTTATCAGATTTGAGTTGATAGAGATTATCAGAGAAGAGAAGGGGAAATGTTAGCTGGAGTTAATTAATAGTATTTCATATTTCAGCCTTTGGTGTCTTAGTTTGTAAACTATACAGATAACCTTATTTTTGATTAAACCCCTGAACGTTGTAAATCTGGTCCCTGAAGACTTCTAAATTTACACTTAAATATATTGATAGAACTTAATTAATTTCACTTACTCTTTAATAAAATATGAGCATGAGATTTTTCCCCCCCTACTTCATAACAGTACATTTTCTCTCCCAAAGCATGAAGCAAAAATCAAATCATTGACAGAATACCTTCAAAATGTGGAGCAAAAGAAAAGACAGCTAGAGGAGTCTGTTGATTCCCTAAGTGAAGAACTAGTCCAGCTTCGAGCACAAGGTATGAATTCCTAAATATTTATGAGCTATAGTTATATTCTTTCTTACTTTAAGTGCAGTAAACCATTTATACTGGGAACACTAGGATATGGATATCTTGGAATAGTGAACAAATCCTACATTTTAATGTGACTTTGAAGCATTTGAAATTGTGTCTGAATATGGCGTGATCAACCTGGGAATTTCACACAATGTTATGAAATGTGTGTATTTTATGTGCACATGTGTGTGTAGCCATTGAAGACTTAGAAAATTATCTCATTTTCTTACCATGCCCTTAACACATTTTATTCTGGGATGAAGCAAATAAAAGAATCTTTAATTATTAACACAAAGGATATAGCTAAGTCAACATGACATTGAAGTTGAAATGAAAAAAAGTTTTGTGTGTGTGGAATTTGGACAATTTCAAGTCAGGTACTACTAAGGAACATATTCCTCAAAAGTTGCGCATTTATTTGCTCATTGTTTTATATGAGGAATTTTAAGGCTTATTTTATCTCTTTTTTTTCTCTGTACCCAAACAGAGAAAGTTCATGAAATGGAAAAGGAGCATTTAAATAAGGTTCAGACTGCAAATGAAGTGAAGGCAAGTGTGATGTTACATTACATTCTAGTGACTCTAACTAATTTTTACTAATTTTGTCTAGTCTGGTTTAAATTAACCACCTTTTCCTCCAATAATTTTAGCAAGCTGTTGAACAACAGATTCAAAGCCACAGAGAAACTCATCAAAAACAGATTAGTAGTCTAAGAGACGAGGTTGAGGCCAAAGAAAAACTTATTACTGATCTTCAAGAGTGAGTATTACGCTTTTTGTTTCTTCTTGCTCTGAGATACTTAGAAACTAATTCAGAAAAATTGGACGTTTAGACAAGAGGAAATATATAATAAACCTTGAACAACACAAGTTTAAACAATGGGGTCCACTTGCATGCAGGTTTCAAAACAAAACAAAAAACCGCTGAGTGACGATAATCATATCCTAATGAACAGTTTGTCTCGCTAGTAAACTGTATTATAGTAAAAAGGGATCTCTTGCAGTTACAGTTCTCATGTGTTTTTCATTGTGTTTACTGAAATATTGTCAACCTTGAATTAAAACCATGGGACTCATATGAAGCGCCACTAATGTTGCAGGAAGTATTCCAAAGAAACAGAAAAGTCATGACGGTGCAAGAAGACTGAATTAATTGCTGGGGATATATGTACTTTAGATTTAGGTCTGCTGCTGCTGCACTTGCCTGCCGTTTCAATGCTAATGTATCCAATATAAGGACCATTTAAAAAAGAAAAAAACACAAGAATAATTTTGTAAGCGATCCCTAAGGAGCTGTAGTAGCGTAGTATTATGGTTTGTGCTGCTAACCTCCAGGTCAACAGTTAGAAACTACCAGCCTATCCACTGGAGAAAGATGAGGCTTCCTGCTCCCATAAAAATTTACCGCGTCAGAAACCCTGTACAGGGTCGCTATGAGTCGGAACCGAATCCATGGCACACTAACACCATCACCTCCACCACAGCTACCCTAGCATTCGTGGAGTTCTACAGTTTTTGCAAAATACTTTTTTTACCTCATATTAAAAACATAGCTTTTATGTGGGTACAATATATATATATAATGCATTCAGCTGTTGATGTTACTGGTGAGACTTCCTGTCAGTAGTAGGCTTGTTGATAGTTTTTGAGGAATCAGAAGTTACACTTTATACAGATCTCCTACTGTGCAGGGAGATCTTAACCCTGTATTGTTCAAGGGTCAACTGTAGTTAGGTTATTGACGGGAGCAAGTATGTGCTTATTAGAAACCTGTGTTTTTCACTGAAATTGAAGTTTTTAACTTAGGAAATACAACATTTTCAATTTATGTGTAGAATTTCTAATTTTCAAAAGGAATTTTGAAAAGTTTTCGTAGCTCTTTTTATCTAAATATATAAGGGGAGGAAATTGAATTCAGTTGAACCAGTCTTAAAACCATTTGCTCATCTTTATTTATTGATTTTCAGGAAATCCCTAACTTAGACAAACATTTGGAAATTCCGAATTTAAAGTTTTGGATTTTTGGGGACATTTGTGTTAGTAGTAGTAGTAATTAATGGAACTAGCCAAGTTCTGGTGTGGCGCTGAACTGCAAAGTCTGTTTGAACTACAAGGCTCACCAGTTGTTCCTCCAAAACACTATTACAGGGTCCTGTGGGTCGGAACCAACTTGGCAACATTTAACAACAATGAAATTAGAGAAAGGATTTAGGGAGATGAAGGGCATAGAAGGATAAAAGTCATGGTTTTAAAGCAAACTGAAAACCTGTTGTATTCAGGGTGGAGGGCTTCAAAAAGATGGCAGTACGGATTTAAAGGACAGTGGAATTTTTCCATGAACTTTCCTAGGGGACAAGAGGCCTTGGATATTTGAAAGACGAGAATATAAGTTAAGAGTTTCGAAATTGTATTTGAAATATTGCTGATGGCTTCTTTTCTTATAATCTCCATTTGCTTTAATACTATTGCTCTAGCTAGTTCTGACTGAATTCTCATATTCATAAAACTGATGTTGATGTGGGGTGTGATTTTGTTATTCCTATTTTTTAGCCAAAACCAGAAAATGATGTTAGAGCAGGAACGTCTGAGAGTCGAGCATGAGAAGTTGAAAACTACGGATCAGGAAAAGAGTAGGAAACTGCATGAACTTACGTGAGTACATGTTTTAACTAGAGTTTAAAAATAAAAACTCATTTAGAGGATTGCAGGTACTATTATTGAATTATTACTTCATGTTAGTTAAAGAGTGATTTTCTGTTTAAGTTTTTATTGTGAATTGAGTGATAGTTTACATGGGAGAATATCAGCTTTACATTCATCCTGTTGTATTTTGTTTCATTGCAATGATTGCAATACGATCCCTTCCATGCATCATCATTCAAAAGTATTTGTTTCTGTTCCCTGTGGTGTTTTTCTTTGTTTGATTTACACCAAAACAGTAATGTGCTTAAGAATGATTTTCTTTAACTGACTGTTTGACTTACACCTAAAAACTTCTAATATATTACTGAACTATAGTGAAAGCAGGGCCTTATGTTTCATTGATGGTCAAGATTCAGATTCCTGTTTGCTATTTCAGTGTTTACTCTAGGCCTTCAGGTTCCATCATAAAAATGAACCTAAAACACAAGATTATTAGATTTTGCATAAAGAACATGATTGTTTAATCCTTATCTTTTTCAAGCCGTAATCTTTTGAACAGAAATGTTCACCAGTTACCGTTTTCAAATTTAGTAAGGGTATATATGTTGTTGTGAAGTGCCGTTGAGTCGGTTCCGACCCATAACGACCCTGTACAGGGTTTCCAAGGGTGTAAATCTTTACGGGAGTAGAAAGCCTCATCTTTCTCCCGCAGAGCAGCTGGTAGTTTTCGAACTGCTGACCTTAGGGTTCGCAGCCCGATTCGTAACCACTACGCTATATATAGTCAGTCTTTTTTGAGGCCTGGTATGGCACTGTAGGATAATCACTGGACCACAAGATCAGTTTGAACCACAAAGTTGATGGTTCAAACCTATCCCCCATTGCTCAGAAACCCTATACAAGGTTACTATGAGTCGGAAGTGACTTGATGGTACTTAATAACTGTAACAGCATAGTTTTTTGTGTTTCTTTTTTAATTGATTCAAATTTAAGAACAGATAGTTTTAGATAAAATGGATTTGATTCAAGCTTTCTGTTTAAATAAAACTAAATTCTATGGAATCAAAGTTGAAAACACGTGTATTCTTTCACTGTTCAGAGTTATGCAAGACAGACGAGAACAAGCAAGACAAGACTTGAAAGGTTTGGAAGAAACAGTGGTAAGAAAAACTTAAAATAAATAGAACTGGGGAGCATTTTATGAATTTTACCCCTTTCTTAGTTTTGAAATCTGAATCCCTAAAATACTCCTTTTCTTAATTCAAGGCAAAAGAACTTCAGACTTTACACAACCTACGGAAGCTTTTTGTTCAGGACCTGGCCACCCGAGTTAAAAAGGTAATGTAACAGACGTCAAAAGCTCACCTGTGTTTGCTTTATAGAAATCTCAAAACATACAAATAACATTGTGCTATAATAGCATTTTTCATGAAGTTGTCATGCGTGGATTTTTTTGTCACCTTTGTCTCCATCCTTTTCTCAGAGTGCTGAGATCGATTCCGATGACACTGGAGGCAGTGCTGCGCAAAAGCAAAAAATCTCCTTCCTTGAGAATAATCTTGAACAACTCACTAAAGTGCATAAACAGGTGATAAAGAGCATCTTCCCCGAGGCATTGTTGTGTCCTAAAGCTTCATTTATAAAGCAGCAGTGTAAGGGACCTAGCAACTCCTAAGGGTATTGATATGTAATAAAAACTCAAAGTAAATACTGCATTTCTAGTAGGTAAATTGTTTATGTTGTAGCATGTAAAATATATAATGAGATCATTTATGGTTTTTAAAAAGTAATGCTTACTGTGTTTTTGCTTGCTTTTTATAATAGATGAGTAAGATTCCTAACAAAAAAGTTTGATAACACACTCAGTTGTTTTATATCTTTGTATTTAATGCCTAATGTCTGTACAAGAATAAGATTTTTGTTATGTGCCATCCAGTCGATTCCGACCCATAGTGACGCTGTGTAGGGTTTCCAAGGAGCAGCTGGTGAGCTTGAACTACTGACCGTACAGTTCAAACGACTTTTGCAGTCTGACGCTTTAGCCCACAGCGCCACACCAGGACTCCAAGAAATACGATTATTAAGTATTAAATGTTTCCTAAATTTATGATTATGTTTATGTTTAAAATTATTCCTTTCTACCAGATGAGTGTCTTAACTAAAGTACCCTCGCACTAGTGTTATAGCTTATAGTCTTTGTAAGAGAAAAGCACAAATTAAATACCATTAGCTCTGGTAGCGTAGTGGTTACAAATCGGGCTGTGAACCTCAGGGTAAGCAGTTCGAAACTACTAGCTGTTCCACAAGAGAAAGATGAGGCTTTCTGCTCCCGTAAAGACTTACAGCCTCAAAAATGCTTTTCAGGGTCGCTATGAATCAGAACCGACTCCACGGCACATAACAACAACAAATATGTCTGAGAGAAGTGCAGGTATATATGTCTGGCTTGTATGTTTCTGCCTAAATTAAATTAGCTAAATGGAAAACAACCCTAATTATAAAATGTAGCTGTTTTACTTACCCTATAAAGAGTAATTGTGAAATGTTTCTACTTTCTCAATTCATCTTGTTAAATTTTTTAATGTACTTTTAGTTGGTGCGTGATAATGCAGATCTTCGCTGTGAGCTTCCTAAGTTGGAAAAGCGACTCAGAGCTACAGCTGAAAGAGTGAAAGCTTTGGAGTCAGCACTGAAAGAAGCCAAAGAAAATGCATCTCGTGATCGCAAACGCTATCAGCAAGAAGTAGATCGTATAAAGGAAGCAGTCAGGTCAAAGAATATGGCCAGAAGGGGACATTCTGCCCAAATTGGTTAGTAGAACAAGCACACTAACACCTGCTTTTATTTCATTGAAAACATAATCTAGTTCAGTCATAATGTGATGGCATGGAGAGATTTCTTAGTCTTTGTTTTATAGCTTAACCCCAAATTGACATTATTGAAAGAATAGAGAAAATTGAGGAATGACCACATTTACAGGACAAGAAGGAAGATAAATAAGAACTAGCAAAACAAACAAGATTGGTCAGGAATAGGAGAAATTATATAGGGTTGTGTTGCTAAAGCAAAGTGAGAATCTTAAATGAGTCATCAGCAATATTTCATGCTTGAGAAGAAGTATTGGCCTAGGGACAAGCTGTATTAGGGGTTAAGAAGCTAGGCTGGTACAAGCAGTTTTTTGTTGGTTGCTAGCGTAAAGGTTGAGGTTGGAACCTCCTCTGTGGTTCTCGTAATGGGAAGAGAAGAAGGTGGCTTGACAATCTGCTTCTTTAAAGATCCCAGCCAAGAGAACCCTGTGGAGCACTTCTCTGGACTACCATGAATGGGGTTGCCATGAATTAGGCTGAGTCAGTAGCAGCCAACAAGGATTATATAGGTTCCTGGAGAAAGGGATTATGACCGACGAAAAGGAATTCTTTTAGAAACAAAAAGGCAAAGAAAAGCAAATCCATTTGGAGATTTATCATGAGCAAACAGAAGAGCCCTTGGGAGTATTGTTATCATGGGTTGATCAGCTTTATTTTGAAGTCAGTTTTTGTTTTTCATATTAGCTAAGCCTATTCGACCTGGGCAGCATCCCGCAGCTTCTCCAACTCATCCAGGCGCAATTCGTGGAGGAGGGGCCTTTATCCAGAACAGTCAGCCAGTGGCAGTACGTGGCGGAGGAGGAAAGCAAGTGTAAGCTTTTGTATCTGTCTGCAGGTTTGTGTTTTCTACCTCCTTACTGTGTCGTAGTGATACAGGGAACCTTTCAGCATGGGTTGTAAAATTCTCGACTGATATCATTTCATAGTTAGAGAACAACTAGGATGGAAACAATAGGAAAGTGGAACATATAACGAATGTCATTGAATAATATGGACAGAGATTGTTAAATGGGAGCTGAATTTGCTATGTACATTTTCTCAAATCACAGTAAAGTATACAAACAAGCAAATAGCAAGCAGTGAGGAAAATACCTTTGGCCAACACTGTGAGTCACTTCTCTGATCATCCAGCAGAGTAAATTAAAAAGAAATCCAGAAAAATAAATTTGGCAAAATGTTTTCTTTTTCAAATTTAAATTGCTGATAAGTACTCTAGCAACATACGAAGTCCTGCTGTGGTGCTGTGGGTTAATGTGCTGGGCTACCAAGAGTTTGAACCCCAAGATGGGTGGTTCAAGGTCACCAGCCACTCCTCAGAAACACTATACAGGGTAGCTATAGGTCAGAACTGACTCAGTGGCACTTAACAACAACAACAAATTATACCCATCGTACTGCAATGTATCCTACTTTGTACCTTGCTTATTTTGGACCCAATATTTATAAAACAGTTGATTAGTTGATATTATTGTTAAGTGCCAGTGAGTCGTTTCTGACATGTAGTGACCCTATGCACAACAGAAAAACAGTTCTGTGTCCTACTCCATCCACCCTCATAATTTTTGTTACATTTGAGTCCATTGCCGTCAGTCCACAGTCCATCTCTTTGGGTGTGGGTGTGGGGGGGGAGGGGTGGTCCTATATAATTTCTCCTGGTTTTTGCTGACCTTTCATTTTACCAAGCATGATGTCCTTCTCCAGGAACTGGTTCCTCCTGATAACATATCCAAAGTATAAGAAACAAAGTCTCACCATCCTGTCTTCTAAGGAACATTCTGGCTGTGACTCTCCCAAGACAGATTTGTTTGTTTTTCTGGCAGATCATGGTGCTTTTAATATTCTCTGCCAACACCAAAATTCAATGCACCGATGGTCTTCTTTATTCATTGTCCAGCTTACACATGCATAAAAGACATTTAAAATACCATGGCTTGGGTCAGGCATACCTTAGAGTCTATAACTGAAAACTTTGTTCTTAAATGAACACTTTTTTTGTTGTTCTTGAATGCTTTAAAGAGGTTTTATGCAGCAGATTTGCCTAAAGCAATTCATCCTTTATTTTATTAACTGCTGCTCTCATTAGTGTTGATTGTAATTCTGAACAAAATGACATCTCTCACAATCTTTTCTCTGTTTATCATGTTATTTATTGGTCCATTTGTGAAAGTTTTTGTTTTCTTTACATTGAGTTGTAATCCACACTGAAGGCTGCAATCTTTGATCTTCGCCTGTAAGTATTTTAAGTCCTCTTCGCTTCCATCAAGCAAGGCTGTATCATCTGCATATTGCAGATTGCTCCGTCAGTCTTGATGTCTCAGTCTTCTTCGTATAATCCTTCCTGTTTTATGCAGCATCTTGTGTTGTTTGTTTAGCATATAGATGGAATAAATAAGGTGAAAGGATACAACCCTAGCGCACATCTTTACTGATTTTAAACTACTCTGTGTTCCCTTGACCTGTTGTAATAACTGCCTCTTTCTTGGTCTCAGTGTAAGTTCCTCATGAGAACAATAAAGTGTTCTTTAATATCCATCCTTCTCAATGTTATCCATAGTTTGTAATGTTTCACACAGTCAAAAAGCTTTTGCATAGTCAAGAAAGTACAAATAAACATCTTTCTGGTATTCTCTGCTTTCAGCCAAGATTCAGCTGACATCACCAGTGATAACTCTAGTTCCACATCTCCTTCTAAATCCAGCTTGGATTTCTGGCTATCACTGTACTGTGCAACCCATTTTTTAATTATCGTCAGCAAATTCTTACTTGCATGTGATGTTAATGATATTGTTTGATGGTTTCTGCATTCCGTTGGATCATGTTTCTTTGGAGTGGGCACAGATGTGTATCTTTTCCAATATTTCTTGGCATAAATGAGTGAGTTCCTCCAGAGCTGCATCAGCTTGATTTCTATTCCATCAATTTATGGAAGTTTCTTTTTCACCAGTGTCTTCAGTGCAGCTTGTTCTTCTGGATCATATGCTATCTCTTGAAATGGTTGAACATCAGCTATTTCTTTTTGGTACAGTAGTTCTGTGTACTCCTTCTATCTTCTTTTGATGCTTTCTGCATCATTCAGTGTTTTGCCCATATGCAGTAATACAAGTTGATGCTTAAATTTTTTCTTCAGTTTTTTTCAGCTTGAGAAATACTAAGAGTGTTCATCCCTTTGGTTTTTATAGCTGCTAGTGTTTCCACATTTCATTCTAATACTTTGTTTTCTTGAGCTGCCCTTTGAAATTTTGCATTCAGCCCTTTAGTTCCTCATGTTTTCCATTTACTTTACCTTCTCTATGCTCACAAACAAATGCCAGAGTCTCTTTTGATAACCATTGTGGAGTCTTCTCTTTCTTTCCTGTCTATTTAATTGACCTTTTTGCTGTCTTTTGATAGGATGTTTTTGATGTCATCCCACAACTCTTCTGGTCTTCAATCATTAGTGTCCTAATGCAGCACATCTCTTCTTGATCCCAAGGTTATATTTTGGCTCTCGTGGACTTGTTTTAATTTTCTTCACCTTAAAACTGAACTTGCATATGAGCGATTCATGGTCTGTTCCACAGTCAGCCTCTAGCCTTATTTTGGTTGATGATTTTGAGCTTTTTACAGATATAATCAGTTTGATTCCATCTAGTGAGGTACATGTATATAGTTTGCCTTTTAATTTTTTCAAAAAAGGTAGTTGAAATGAAGGTCATCTGTCTTGCAAAAATTCTGTCTTCCAGCATCATTTCTGTCCCTAAGGGTATATTTTTAAATTACTTGTCCTTCCTGTTTCTTTTTTGGCTATTCTTATGTTAAATTCATGTGCAAATTTGAACTAATCTCATTTACAGAAAGAATAAATTATGGCTTTTGTTAAACAGAGAAAACTTAGAAAGTATAACCTTGATCAGAATGTAATGACAGCAGTTTAGCACATGAGGGAGATAGCAAACCTAGCTAAACTAGGTTTTCAAAAGTTTGAAATGTTAAAATATAATTGGTTATAGGTTTTTTATTGCTGGTCCTAAAGATTATGTTCTGATTTAAAAAAAAAAAAAAAATCATTTCAAAACAGTTTATTTTTATGGCATTGTACTAATACCACTGATGCCTTTACTCCCCAGTTTCATGTGGTTGGTTTCCTAGTAACTGTGCAGTTTAATACTAGGTTGCCAACTGCTGGAATTAATTTCTTTCACTGTCACTTTTGCTACCATTTGCTGACTTCGATTTTACTAGCCATCTTTCCTTTTTTAAACAAATCATTTGTATCTCTATTGGAGCTAATCAAAACAAATGAAAGGCTGCCCTTTTAAATTTTGTACTGCTCATAAACAACTTTAAATAAACACAGGATGAAAAACATTCTATCATTTAATATTACCGTCTTTTTGTGTTGGGGAAGGTGATTGGTTAAGTCTTTCTTCTAGATTATATAAATAAAAAGATCTCTACTTTTTTTTATTTTCAGGTGTTGACAGTAATTGAAGAAAGAAGAGGACATGCTATCAAGCAGAGTCATTCAGTTACTAACCTCTGCCCCCTCGGGACTGTAGAATTACCACTTTTTTTTTTAATGTATAAATTATACCTGGCCTGTACAGCTGTTTCCTACCTACTCTTGTAAACTCTGCTGCTTCCCAACACAACTAGAGTGCAATTTTGGTGTCTTAGGAGGGAAAAAGATGACAGTTTACAACTGTGGCCCTATTTATTACACAGTTTATTTTCATGTCTTACATTTAGTCTTCACTGTGCCAAGCTAACTGTATCTGATAGGATTGCGTTTTTTGTTTGTGTGTGTTGTGTTTATTTTTAAATCTCAGTTTAAATTACCTAACTGCTACTGCTTTTTGTTTTCCTTTTCTTATTAAAATGTCTTCCTTATTTTAGGGAAAATAGAACAGTTAGATTAAATGTCTTAAATTTTGCCACTTATAACACTACATACCCACAAAATACACCAGGTCAGTACTGTATTTTTAAATTCCTTGAGATGACTTTAGAGTTAAAATAATTGTATCATCTCTGAAGCTTGTTTCTGAAAACTACTGTTAAAGCACTGAAGCCTAGCTTGACTGGGCATATGAAACTAAATAAGTTTATGTAATTATTATCTCTTGAAATGCCTGTTGCTGAGTTGGTATTGAGTAAAAATATTTTACAATTGCAAAAGCAAATCTAAATTTAAGAAAACAGTTTGAAAGAATTGTATTCTTCTTCTTCCTGATTCCATACTTTACATCGCTTGAGGTGGAATGAACATCAACCCTGCTTCATTCTGGTGAGCCCGCTACCTACTATAATAATTGGACAGATAAACATTTGTCATCTTTAATATACTGAAATGGATTAAGATACTATAGAATTAAACAGAATTTTATGTTAGTACTGTATTGGTCAATCTAAATTTATAGCCTTGAAGAAAAATGTAAAGAAATAGGAATTTAAGCATGGATAAGTAAAATTTGGTTTGAACTCCCTGCCGTGCTGTTATGCTGCTACACTAAGTCATGCACCATCATTGATTCCTGATTTAGGCTCGATACAGTGAACTGTTTGCAGGTCATTTATCCTTACTATTTTGTTGGGTAAAACCCATAATTTTGTCTTAAGTTTGAAATGTGTACCTTTTTTTTTTTTTTTCCTTAAACCACTTCTTCCTAAGTGATTAAGTCAGCATTTCATTTTGGGAAGTTATAAAAGTAATAAAGGAGGTTTCAATATTTGCTTTACCAGTAGGGTGACTACAACTATTTTAGCAAAAGTTTTGAGAAGATGGGAATTTATTTATTCAGTCGGTAGAGAAACCTGGAAAATTCTGTGTTAAGAT